AGAGCCGTCATACAAGGTGGCTCAGCGAGTGTCCTGAGGACTCCGGGTTTGGACCCAAAGCAGATGCGCTTATGATGGGATTACGTGGTTAATTCTCACGGTTGTGAGAATGTGATGGAGTGCAAGTGAGGGTCACCACACTGTGTCCGGAGGGAGACTATTCATTCTCTCTCTCTCTCTCTCTCTCTCTCTCACTCTCTCTTTCTCACGCACACACACATCCAACAGGGCCACTTTCCAAACTGAATGAAGAAACGTTATCCCAATCCCAGAAAACCTTGAAAAGAGAAATTCATAAATTATGGCATTTCTTTAAAATAGGGAGATGGCCCTCAAAATTCCCGCAATTTTTTTCCGCGGTTGCTTTTTGTTGATGATTCTTTTCGTGCTCCCAGTCGAGGGTCGCTGGGTTGGGTGTGTACCAGCCTTCCCATATCTGGCACCCGAGTCCGACAGCAGTGGATGGGCACAGCTGACCGGACAGGAAGTCCAGGGGCCATGCGGGGGGGCTGTCCGGGCCGTGGAGGCGCATGACTGCAAAGTGCCCGCCTTCAATTCTCGCTCCAATTACATTTTGGTATTTACCAGTGACGGAGAAGCACAGGTCACCTGTTCAGCCGTGTTCATCCAGTGGAAAAAGAACAATATGAAAGACATAAAAATCCATCTGGCTGGCAGTCGTTGTCACAGGGGTTTTAAAAATTTTGTGCTTTATATGATGGAAAGTTTGAGAGGTGATCAGATTACAGTACAGGCTGCTGCACTCGGCTTATGTAAGTCCAGTAAAACTGGGAGCATTAACATTGAGGGTTTAAATAACACTGAGAGAGTCTCACTAACACTGAGAGTATCAACACTGGGGAAGTAATACAGTCACAGAGAGCATTAACACTGAGAGAGTCTCACTAACACTGAGAGTATCAACACTGGGGAAGTAATACAGTCACAGAGAGCATTAACACTGAGAGAGTCTCACTAACACTGAGAGTATCAACACTGGGGAAGTAATACAGTCACAGAGAGCAGTAACACTGAGATAATTCTATAAACTCTATGTGTGTTAGATAAACACTGGGGCGGAAAAAGCCACATTTGTTAAAATAACTGACTGTGGTAAATCAACACCACAATAACAATATAATATACAGAAATTAGAAGCTTTTCTCAGTAGTGGGCTCCTGAATTCTCCATGTGAAAGATCCTTCTCCTTGCTTTGTCTGTTCGGGGAAGAGGCCCCGGTGACCCCATGAAATCTTCCTGCACGCCGGGTCCCCGTCTTCGAAGACGACATGCTACATGCACACGAATTCTGTCCAGAACCGTGGATGAGGAATATTAAATGGATGCCAGTGCTCTTTGAGGCAAGCCCTGCTTTTCATCAGCCATGCTTCAGCCTCCATTGAGTTACCTCATACTGGCCAACCCGTGAAGTTTTCCAGGACTCCACCCAGACGCCGAAAACCACTCCCCTGCCGCCGGTGGTGGCGCTGGCCACGAGTGTTATTGGTGTTACCAGTCGAGTGAGGTAATGTGCCCCTCCCCTGCCAGTGTAAGTATTCTGCTTCTGCAGTGTCTCAGGGCCCAACCGGCTCCTTAAAGCTACTTATGTTTTTCATGAGGAAAGTGCTCTCCCAGAACCACGTCCTCACTGATCCTGGCCAGACTGGAACGTTCCTTACAAGGTGCTAATGGGGTCTCATGGGATATAGCAATCAGACTCGCAGAGGAGCATTAATCTAAAAAGCAATATGTTTTATCTGAGTTGAACTTCAAGGACTTTCGTAACTGTTTTAAAACAATTTGAATTGCTCTGAGGTTTATTTGAGAATAGTATTACCTTAAAGGGAGGTGAGGTCACATAAATGTCACATGGGGCTGGCTTTCTGGAACATTCCAGGTCCTGCGGTTGACCTACAGCACCCCAGCACATCCCACATCACCATGGAACGTTGATCACGCCCCTGATAATTCGCCTTGACGTGTAGCAAGTAGCAAGAATTTCACGCCCTTGATCTTTGTGGAGAACATGGCAATCTCAGCGATCTCAATCCAAAATATATCTCTGGTTCTGATGGCGATCACTGTGGAAGTTCTATAGCTTTGTAAGGAAGCTGTTTCGGTGTCACCCATCGCTTCATTTAAATGGGAATCTCTTCATATAGGAAGGTCGAGACTCAGGTGAAGAAGATACGGTGTCATAGGCATGTAAGCAAAGACCAGCTTTCACAAGCCACCCCGCCAGCAGAGCTTGGTAATGTTCTCAATGCGTGTGTCAAACCGCACGACGGAAGCAGGACGGCTGTGCGGCCTAATTACTCAGAGTTGCCCTGTGAGCCTTCACCTTCACCTTCACCTTCCTCGCTCCACCCCGATTGCGACTCCTGTTACTGGTGGCAGGCTGACATTCTCTAATTGGAGCCAAAGGTCTCTCTCGAGCTCTCCCAGATGCTGTCAACCTTATGGCGTGGTGATGTTCAAACTCCCATCCGCGAGAAGAATTGTAGAGTTCCAGGCATTTGGATGTAGGTGAGGTCCCACCTCACGGATCTACTGAGGACCAGAGCAGGTGACCTGGTTCATTGTGTGTGTGTGTGTGATTACGTTTTATTTGAGGAAACCTGGAGCGGCAATAACGAATGAATAGTCATTTAATCAATGAACCCTTGTACAATGCCATAAAAAACATAGACTTCTCTGGAGTTCCGCTGTGTTACTCCTTAGACCGACATTTCGTCACTATGAATAGTCAGACCTGCCTCCCTGCTGGCGCCCCCTAATGGTCAGGGAGACACCTGTCTGATATGGTATGCACCTTGCAATTACGGTGGGTCTCATCTAGTGCAAGACTGGCTCTCTATGCTGTGTTGGGAATTTCTGTTCTTCCTTCTCTGGAGCAAGACTGAATAATTTAATCTCACATTTTTTATTGACTAGATGGACCCCATTCAGCATCAGCTTCTGTGCATTTGAGTGTTCCCCCCCCACCCCCACCACTGCCCCACCCCCCAAGCTTCTGTCACAATTCAGACGGTGTGAAGGTTCTCCAGGGTGGAGAGAGAGAGAGATAGTGTGAGAGAGAAAGAGAGGCTAGAAGATGGAGATGAGGCAACCAGAGAACATCAGGTCATCTGGAGTGCAGGATTTGTTCTGCGTGGTTGTGTTTGTGTGTGTGCTTGTGCCTGAATGTGTGTCTGCATGTGAGTGCGCAGGTTTGCTAATTTCCATCTCAGTGTTAGTGAAACAGGGCCATGCTGAAGTTTAAACAGCAGCAGCTGCTGCTTCCCCCGTAGACGCATGTACACACTACATACCTTCTTACTTACAAGAAGTAAGAATTAGAGTCGCAGGCCTGCTTGCGACAGTGAGAATGTGCATGTACTGGTGTAAGGGTCAGGGAAGGGTTCCGGCTGGGTGTGTGCGCAGACGGCAGGAAGCAGCACTGGCATGCGCGCAGACGGCAGGAAGCAGCACTGGCATGCGCGCAGACGGCAGGAAGCAGCACTGGCATGCGCGCAGACGGCAGGAAGCAGCACTGGCAGCAAACTCAACTCTGTTTTACATTATAAGGGCTAATAAGGTGCACGTGATGTGAACGAGTGCTGGTCACCTGACTTCACTCCTCTCTGGGACCACTACGCCCCCCCCCGACACCGCTGTTCATCAGTCTCTCTCTCGCACCAGCAGTAACTGGGTTGAGTCACCCGTTTGAGTCTTACTGTGTGTTCTGATTCTGATCCTGATTTATGTGGTTCTTGTTTTTTATACTTTGTTTGAGGGCTGCAGGCTTTCAAGGCAGCAGGGACACGTTTTCATACTGCGGTAGGAGGGAGGGGTGCTGAATTATTGAGGCTGTAATGTTGTTGGAGATGCAGAGAGACCGGGGGCCGGCCATCCACTCGGGCTGTGGTATTCTTGCTCTGGGGCCACGTACCCAACAAACAGAAGCGAAAGGCAAAGGGCACCCCTGCAGGTTAGACGTGTAAATACACTGGCAGTAGCCCTTCCCCAGGTTCTGATGCACCCAGACCAACTGGGGGCCAGACACGTACCCAGTTTCTTTTTTACCCCGCCCCCCCAGGGCTGCCTTGGAGGTGACCCTCAGCCGCACAGGCTCTGCAGCCTCCATCGTTCCCCTATCCGCTCGGCAGGCCGTGTTCCAGTTAATCTCCGGGCCTGTTCCCCTCGGGATGAGGGTCCAGGCAGCGCACTCCTGTTCCACTGTACACTCTGGAATGTCTGTCCTCTTTCCATATTATTCCTAGGACTGAATGGGATTTGGCGGCGGTGGGATAATTACGTGTATTGTGTTTCACCGTCATTCCTGGGCTTTTGGTCTCGCCGTAGTGGAACTTGGCTATATTTCCACATCGTCTCAGTTCCCTCTTGGTCTTGAAGCGCGAGCGGACCGTCTGGGGCAGCGTTTAAGCAGCGTGGAGAGTAAGGTGTTTTCCCACAATCCTGAGTGATGGAACATCCCAGGCCCAGGATCTCTGAGGGCAGCCAGGGCACATGTTTGTCGACAGAGATGAAGTACTCCAGCACTTCAGAGTCACACTGCTCATATGTCACTCTCATATTCTATTAATCTGTCCATCTACTGGCTGTTTATTGAGTATAAGGTTGGGTGGGCGGGGGGGGGTAACCTGGGGCACAGTGCCTTGGACAGGATGCCAGGGCATCGGAGGGCACACACAGGCACGCGTTCACACACTCAGTGGCAGAGGTGGGTAGTCCTGATCCAGAGAGAAAAAGTCCAGACCAAGATTTTGTTTCAACCAACTAGCTGAGTATAAAGAATCACAGTCACACAGTACTCAACTGGTTGGTTGAAACAAAACCTTGGTCTGGATTTAGCCTAACTCAGCACTAAGTATCCATTAGAACAATATAAACATTGTTTTTGTAAAATGGAAACATGTCTGAGATCCTTATTATGATCAGTCTTCTTTTGTTTGACATTGTTTTCTTATTGCTTAATAATTTTATTCTTTTTTTTCCAGTGACTATCTCCACCAACACTGCCTTCGATGGCTTTTTGGTCACTGGACTCTACACCTCCACCACTGTCCAATCAGCACCCATTCCGGCTGCGGGTACCTTCGGATTCGGTGAGTCCATCACGACATCATAATGAATTACCCAATAGGCACACTAAATGTTATTAAATGATCATGTATATTTAACCAGTTGTACAAAACTAGTCCACAGACTAAACCGAATCTGCCCCCATCTGTGTAGCTTGTTGTCGTGTTTACAGCTCTTGTGGGTAGATCAGCAAGCAGAGACAGTCTTTTCTTCTACCCTCAGACAGGCAGCACATTTCTATGATATTTGAGGGATACAGAGGTTCTGGGTGTGTGTGTGTGTGGGTGGTTGGCCCTCTGTGTTGTTTAATGGGACTCACAGGGTATAATACGTACACTTAAGCCTTTGTGCAGCCCTCCCCAAGCACCACTTCACAGACGACCCCTTTATGCTTCTACAAGCGAGTCCTCCGCAGTCTGACAGGCCCTGATTGATGACCGGCAGATATGCAAAGCTTCGCCTTCTGTACTTTTTGGCTGCGTGACACGAGTCCCCGAGGATCTGTCACCGCGAAGCATGTCCGCATCGGGGCGTGACGGAAAGCAGCAGAACTTAAGGCGTAAGCCAATCGGCACAGGGCTCGAGAGCGGGCCTGACGCAATGTCATTGGCCAGAATGGCCGTTGTAAGCGGCTGGCACCCCCCACAGGCTGCCAACAGCGAATCGTATCGATCCACAGGAAAGCAATGATTGGTAAATGATTAAGCCATAATTAAATTCAGATGAATTTTTCACAGAAGCAGTACCAGTAAAGGACTGATCACTGATACTAGCCATTCCACCAATGTATACCAGTAACATTGCTGATTGGCACATCCTTAAACACCCAATCAGGGGGCAGCATGCACATGGGAGCGGCCGTGTCACTAGCAGACATAGGTGACAATGACTTCCTGTTGCTCACTTATTGGCTACCACAGAGTAACAGGTACACGGCCCTTTTTAATATGACGCACCAAAATAAATAAATAAAAACAGGCTGCCCTTCAGTTTCGCTTCAGAGGAGGTACCAGTCACCAGCAAGCATTTTCTGGCATGCAGTTACCTGGAAGGACTGGTTAATTAGGAATAAACTGGCTGGTTTTATTAGGCAGAAGCCGCTAATTTGATGGTCCCCTCTGGTCCACATGGTAGCGCGTTTTCTCTGTTTGCTGTGTCACTTCCCAGCCTGCGTGAGGGGAACGGGGGCCTGGACTGTTCCTCTTCATGCTGGTTTCATTACGAAGTGGACTGGGGCCATGAGGACCCAGGCTCTCTGCTGGGAAGGTCTGGAGCATTTAGCAGAGCCCGAAAGCTTGGCTGCGCCTTCGTTTCGACTTGGACGCCTGTAACAGAAAGCAGCGATGCATTGATTAAGGAATCTGGTGACTTAATGAGGTCTCCTATGGGGTGTGGGGGCTTCCTTCTGGTTTACTGTGTGTGGAGATAAGGAATGCGTATTTCTATGGGCCCCCACAAGTCTGGGTGTCACGTCCCCCATCTGGAGTTCCACATGTCAGAGAGTGGGAAACATGTGGCGTCCAGATGTCCGGAGGTGGCAGCAGGAATGTCGGGAATCTCTCTCCTTCTCCCATTGGTCCTGCAGCAGAAGGACGTCTACGTCACGCTTTCTCGAGGCCATTTCACACGATGGGGTGAATCTGGTGCCTCATTTGGACTTTGGGGATTCTGTTTTTGTAGGGCACCAGCTGCAAGGACTTGTGTGTTAGTCTGAGTTTTCCAGTGAGCTGATGACCTTTAGTGTGCAAATGTTTGACGGTGTGTGTGTCTGTGTTTGTGTGTGAACCCTGTGAAGGATTGGGTACAGTGATGGATATTACAGTGATGGATATTACAGTGATGGATATGTACACTAGGGCAGTATTTCTCAACCCAGTCCTCGGGGAACCCCGGACAATCCACATTTTTGCTTCCTCTCAGCTCCCAGCACACCTGTACCAGGTATTCGGTGTTCCTGATTGGCTGGGAGCTGGGAGGGAGCAAAAACGTGGACTGTCCGGGGTTCCCCGAGAACTGGGTTGGGAAACACTGCACTAGGGGTTACACAGACAAGTCGGCTAGTTGACAAGTTGACTTTACTGCTCTGCTAGTCACTGATCATGTGACCATGACACAAACAACAGGCCTCATGGAATTCCAGCTACGCAGAAGTGCGGGGAAAACAGATAGAAGTAGTGGAGCAAAAATCGGCCAGATGGAATTGTTTTTCTACTTTAATTACATTTAATGCATCGATGAACACATTTCTGCTTGCATTTCTATAATTCTGTCTAAATTTGATCGATAACTGGTCATGAGTATGGAAGGCCGTTGGGACAGAAAAAAACAGAAAATATGTCTCAACATGGCATTTTTTCCTCTCTAGACATGGTATCTTCCCCTCTATACGTCGAGACACGGCACTTTCCTACGGAACATTCGCATTAAAAGACGCATATAAAAACCGGTGGTGACATGCATTTTTATACTGCGTCAACATGGTACAAATGTAAGCAGTGATTTTCAATTTGAGACAAGTCTGCACACACATGTACATGCATTTACATGTATGTAACAGTAATATTACCTTGTAAAAAGCCTATATGGTTTGCAAACTACCCAACCAATTTGATGTATGTAATCTTAGGCTTATAATGTAATAATATAAATTTGCTGTAAGATTTCTTGCGAGAGCGTGAGAGTCCGAAAGCGTGAGCCAGATGCGTGCAAGTTGGCAGCCCTGGTACGTGTTTAAGAAGCTCTTTCAGCACTAAGGCAAGCTAATACTTTTCCATTGAAAGGCAAAGGGTTCACTCTGTAATGCATTATTATTCGTTGCTGTATCTTGTTATATTTTTACTATCATATGATATTTCAGCTTTTAATCATAACCACTGATACTCAAAATTTGTAAAGATTTCATTGAAGAGGCTCATTGTTTTGTCTGATATGCTAATATGCAAAGTAAAAGGTAACAATCTGTTTACATTTATCGTTAAGTTGTAAAAATGTGTTCTAAAACAAAAAATATTCATGCATGCCACTGTAATTACCCTGATGTGACATATATACTTTATTATAAATGTGTCACAAAAGAATGAAATAAAATGCTATATTAAAGTGTTACCCAGCATGTTATACTGTAGAATGTTTAAAGTTGAAATATTAGATGCTATGAACAAAAAAGATGCGTGTCAATGTCATACATTTAGTGTGGTCTTGAGGAAAAGGATAAAAGAAATATTTTATATACACGGTGTCCATGAAGCCTCTTCACAATTTCAAAAATGTATTACAAAGGCAATTGATGAGATATCGTCATCAGATTTGTTCTATGTACTCATTGGTTATCAAAGTTTTTAATCACATTGCAAACAAAGGTGCGGGACATGACTAATGTAAAGCAGAGGATCACTGATGCCATTGTGTGTGAGAGAGTGAGAGAGAGCGAGAGAGAGAATTTTCTTATTATAATAACGATAAGATAATTCCACACAGGACCAACCTTCCTGCATGTTTACATGCAAAGCGCTCTGTGACATTATTTGTTTATGGTATTGTTATTATGTCTGATATTTCAACCTTACACATTCTGTAACATGTTGGGCATATTTCAAGTTGAGGTATTATTTTTTACACATGTGTCTAGTGTATCGTGCTTTATGTTACATTAGGGTAAAACAATAAGGGGTTTATTAAGGCAGCTGAACAGTGCGAACCCCTGTAACATCAGTCAACTTTAAAAAATCATAAGTCATGAAACTACTAATATAGACAAACAAGCAGTATTATAGCAGACTGATTAGAGAGAGAGACTGAATCATGGATCAGGCCTTTGGGGGCTGGATGTATTTCAACCTGAGGGGTTGGGACAGTGTAAGTCCATTCTGTGGGGGAGGTGGTTTACCACAGGAAGATGTTAGATTAAGTGGGGAGAACCACAAAGAGCGGAGACGCATGCAGCGGAAAAAAAACAGAAGCGTGATAATTGGTGGTGGATTCGCCAAAGTAGGTGAAGATGTGTGAGGAGTTCCATGGCCTTTAAGTGGCAGAAGCCTGGGGAGATGTTCCACAACATAGATAAATGTCAAAGATCGATGGCCAGAGGAAGCGTGCATGTGCCGGCCATACGTGCTGCGTGTATGTTTCAGCCTGTACGAGGTCACCGCTGCATGTGTGGGGGAGGTTCGGCCCCCACCCACCCAGAAACCAGCCCCAGTCCTGACTGACTCAACTGCTGGGGAATTTCAATGACTTTCATATATTTTTAAAAGCCTTTATGGCATTAAAGCCCCTTTGTTTTCCTTCCAGGGCTCCGCTATTTAAAAGGGACCACATGCCGTGTCTAATGAGCGCCTTTCCACTGGCCCCGCCCCTCTTTAGCGTCTTCTGCATCTCGTCGTCGCTGCCTAGTGAAACTGCCGCCTCTCGTCCCGCTTGTCGAGTCGGGGCGGCAGGAGACGGGCACGTTAGGGCATGCTGGGCGTGTCTCCCACGAGGAGAGTTAATGGAAAGACGGCTTGTCCGTGTGGGCGACGCCCCGACACGGTGACGTCAGGAGGCACAGCAGGCCGTTCTTACTTACTTAGCATCGGGGATTTCAAAACCCAAGCGGCTCCATAAACAGGACAGCTGTCCTCACCCTTCAGATAAATGCATAAGTAATACAACAGCAATAATAATGATAATATGGGGAAGAAGAGAAAGAAGGCCAACAACAATAGCAAAAAGAAACATTAACAATTTAAATGATTTTGAAAGTAACAAAGAAACAACTGATGCTTTATTTTTATTGCAGTTAATTATTGCCAGAAGGTTTCTTCTGAGCTTAGGGTTTAATTAGAAAGCATGATCTTCATTATCCTTTTTTTCCCGACTCACTGGCGTTCACTTACCCTGACAGACGTTCGGTGAGCGGCTCACGTGTACAGCGATGATAGCATGATGGTTTTCAGCATGTGAGTAAGTAGCAGCGCTCCAAGGGGAGGGGACAGTGCTCACATGCTGCTCCCCGTCACGCCTATGAACAAGGGACCGTCCAGAA